ATATCCTTTTCAATTCGAACTTTTACTGGGCCAAAATTGGGTCTCAATCTCCAACTAAAAATCTGGACATCCTTATACGGTTGAAAATTGATTTGTAAAAATATTTTGATTATATTTTCACTCCTTTTGACATTATTTGTATCTAATTGACCCCTAGCGTTCTCGGATCTTCATCGTGAGCTCCGACACAATTTTTGAATATTTGCACTTTAGCTCCTAAACTTTGGATCTTGCCATTTTCGCCTATTTTTTCACTTCTTTTCTCCAATTCTTTATCAAATATAAAGTTTTACCTACAAAGATGCAATATAACCTAAATTAGGTAGAATTTTATCAAAAAGAAAATAAAATATCACATCATTTAGGGTCTCGAATAAGTGTTCTTCTACTTCCAATCAACACTTTAAACTCGAATTTCGTGATGATTCTCTTCTTTGAATTGGGTTCTTCGATCTCTCGTTGTATCTCCATTTCTCAATGTTTTGGAACCCTTTATTTTCCTACACTTCCTTGACCAGATTGGAGTTTTTTCTGGGCTTCTAGAGGTCCTATCAATAAAAACCCTAAAATGGCGGCGCAGCGCCTAGGCACTGGGTGCTGCCTCGCTGAAAATCTTCTACATCTGCTTTCGTATTTTTGTTATAATTTTTTCTTCCGATATCTGATTAAGACGATTCAAAATGAGTTGGAAAGATAACTCAAAGAGCTACAAATTTGCTTGAAATAGATCTTTTTCAATTCAAACGTTTGCTGGTGCTGGGTGTGCCCCTGGCAGCAACCGATTTTCTCATCTTCTCTGTTTTTTCTTTCTTTATCTGACAGCCTCTTTCTTCTCTCATTTTCTCTCCTCTTTTCTCTCTATATTTTTTTCTTTCCTGTTGGCAGCCATATTCTTGTTCTCTTTTTTCTCTCGTACAACCATCATTTTTTTCTCCTTTTCCTCCCCATCGAATTCCAATCCCCCCCAGCCGCCTTTTCTGCGTGTGTGTGTGTGTGTGTGTGTGTGTGTGTGTATAGTATTTACATTGAGGTCCAATTAAAATTTTCAATACAAGTCCATTGATATCCATTTAACTCCAACACATTTAATGTATTATTTCTCTCTAAGGTTTCATATTTGAATTTTGCTATTTTTCGCCATTTTGTTTTCTTTTCTCCAATTCTTCATTAAATATAAAGTTTTACTTACAAAATACAATATAACATGAATTAGGTATGACTTTATCCAAAAGATAATAAAATGTCATGATTTTGTAATGATTCGAGCTTCGTACCCGATTGTTCTTTTACATATTGTCCGCTTTGGGGGAGAGTATTCTTTTTTACACTTCATGGTTTTCTACCGTGTTCCCCAGGATCTGAATCCATGACCTCCCCTTAAGAAGTCACTCTTAAGGGAAAGGGCCATGGGTTTGAATACTGGGCACGCGATATAATTTTTTAAGGGATAAAATGAGTTCAGACTTTTTCAAAGGAAACGGTACATAAGTTAACGGTCTGGTTACAGAATCTGAATCTTTATAAAAAAATTGCACATATTTTTTAACAACTCGAACATCGTGCCTGACTGTTTTATTATGTACTGTCTGCTTTTGGGAGAGAATCTTCCCTCTTACACCTCACAGCTTTCTGTTGCATTCCTCAGGATTCGACCACATGTCATAGATTCAAATTTCGAGGACATGACAAAAATCAGTGAAGGGTAAGATAGGTTTAGATTCTTCGAGTCATTACAATCTTTTTCTTGATATGCAAAAAGAGAGATTAGTGTTTGACATTGTATCTAGAAAACAACTTTTTCAAGCCATATGAAATTTTTGAGTTATTACTCGAGTGGGGGAAAACACGTTTTTTCATACAGTATCGTTATTGCTATATATCTTGCACATTAATTCTCTTTCTACATTTTTTGTTTCTTTTTATTTTTTTGAAGTTTTTCCAATAATTGTGTTACATTTGAGAATTAGTGTGCATTTGATTAAGATTGAATGTGGATGATTTTAATTCAATATAGGCAATTTTATCTATATATTTTATTTATTTTATAATTAGTTTAGTCTTTAATTAGTATTAGGACTCTTAGATTTCATAATTTTAATTAGATTAGGATTTTAATTTCTTTTAGAGTTAGTGGTTATCATTAATTTTATTATTATCTGAAGTTTGCGGTTATCTAAAAGTATAGTTATTATTCAAATTTTATTTATTGCTTTAAATACAAGCTGTAAGCCTTATGGCAATAAACTTGAGTAGAATTTGAATTGAAATTTAAATTGTTGAGTTCTCCAATTTCTTAAATTCTCGTATTTGATATTTGAAAATCAATGAGTCCAATTCTCTGTATTTGTGCACGGATCAAAGAGATTGATGCCTAACTTTCTAGTATTCTTAAGAATCAATAGAAATTAGAAAGTAATTGTGTTTCGGTATTTGTTTGAAATCAACGAATTTTTTGTAGCGCGTTCTTTCAACTTATTTTATCACTTCCAATACAATGCATCAGTTGGTATCAAATTCGATTTCGTTCATGATAGTCTTCGTAAATGACAAAAGTTATGATATATGATGATAATCTGTTTGTCCCTTTCGATCTAAGGTAGCCGATGGGCAAGATTTTGATGAGAACGATGATGGTCAGCTAAGTTTTGACAAACAAGTTGAAGAATCTTTGGATTTCGGTTATGAAGGTCTTCCAACCTTTAACGAAAAAAATTGAAGAAATTTGTGGATTCGGGTAATGACAATTATGTTGAATCTTCAATCTAAGATGAAAAAATTGAAGAATGTATGAATTTGTGTGGTTACAGTTACGATGTTTCATTTATTTTCTATGAAAAGCCTGGTGTCAATGTCTCTCATAGATGGACTAAAGGATTCATGGTTGGTTATAAGTGCCTCACAAGAGAGTCTTTGGATCTTGAGATGCCTTTATAGTTCGAACTTCATCCAAAGAGTTTTCTTTTGTGTGCTCTACAAATTTACAAAGTACATTGACATTATTGCAAGAATTTGGATGGTAATACAGTATAAGATTCGAGGACGAATCTTTGTCAATTAGAGGGAAATGATGAAGATTGAATGTGGATGATTTTAATTTAATTTAGGCAATTTTATCTATATGTTTTATTCTATTTTATAATTAGTTTAGTTTTTAATTAGTATTAGGACTCTTAATTTTTATAGTTTAATAAGATTAGGTTTTAATTCTATTTAGAGTAAGTTGTTATCTATAATTTTATTATTATATAGAGTTAGTCGTTATTTAGGAGTTTAGTTATTATTCAGATTTTATATACTGCTTTAAATACGTGCCGTAAGCCTTATGGCAATAAAATTGAGTAGAATTTGAATTGCGAGATTTTTTCAATTTCTTAAATTCTCGTATTTGATATTTAACGAATCCAATTCTATATAACCGTGTGCGAATCAAAGAGTTTGATGTTTAGATTTCTGATATTCTTAAGAATCAACAGAAACTAGAAGGTGGTCATGTTCTGATATTCGTTTGGAATCAACGAAATTTCGATAGCGTATTCATCAATTACCTTCTCGCTTCCGTCTCACTACATCAACATTCGAGAATAAGTGAAAATTAGTACGTGAAGCCCGGTTTCCGCAATTGTGTAAATTATTCTGGAGTTGGTAAACATTAAGATAGTCTTAGTTTTGTAATTCAAATGAAGATTTTTCATAATTTATGTCTAGTAGTCTATTTTTTTTCAAAAAAATTAAAATAAAAAAATCGCCCCTACCACCAAATGAGACTTTATTGCTCTAATCACTGGAACTAGGTCTTACTTTCTTACTGTACTTGTTGGTCACAAGTCCGTGATATTTATGAGTTTGGACTTTTCACATACATCCCCATGTTCTTTTTTAATCTTTCTTTTCATGCCAATTTCATTATAGTACAATTTAACTGGGGTGAACATTGACTTGCAAACGTTAACCCATAAAAGAGAACTATCAATATAAGTAAGACAATTTGAATTCTTTTAACCATATTAGGAATTTGCCAAACTGAAAATAATTTTCAACCTATTCAACCCCCGTCTAGTTATATTTTCTATTAAATTTAAACGTTTCATTTACAAAACTTTATTTATTATTGCGAGTAATACAACTTACAAAGAGGCTATAATTCATTCTTACAGCAAATTTATCAGAAGAAAGGCATTGTCTTGAATTTATTACATAATGTACCATATCAATCATATATAACAGAACACATTTTTCTGACTATTTTCATAAATAGATTTGCCCATAATTATGTCATACACTTTTCAAAAATTACCTTTGTGATGTGAGCATCAATAGTTTTCTGGATCAAAAAAGGCCATGTAATAACAAGTTTTTGCAACCATTAGAAATGTTTGCTTGACATAGGAAGCAATTTCATTGGATTCTTGAAGTACTAATTGCACTAATGCCTATATATCAGTTTCAATTTCTTTGTATTTGATGCCGTGAGGTCTTTTGTCTGTATTTCCCATTTCGTGTACCTAAACATAAATTGCTTCCAAATGAAATCAAGACAGAATATGAAATAAGAGCATAGGCTAAAAGCTTGAAAAAGTCTACTTATACAAAATTATTTGACAAAAAAGTTAACAAACTCTCACATGATGGCTGGCCCCACATGAATAAAAAATTCCAAAAAAAATGTGGACCCTCCCCCCTATTGTGAGGGGGCCGGTCAGGGTGTTTGTCACCGTGACCCGGTACACCAAGCCTCTCTCTAAAAGCTTTCAAAGAACACTTAAATATTTGTCTAAAGCTTCGTTTTAAACTTTTATTAATTATAGAACAAAAGAAAACTTTTTTTTTTTTGGAACATAATTTTCTGAAGAATTTTATTTTTCAAAATGTGATAAACATCAATTCTATCGTTTTAAAAATTTCTGTGCAACCTAGTTCGTATTCGACAAAACTATTTCTTGGCATTTAGAATTATGTTATGTACCTTGTTATTTTGAAATTCTTGAAGCTGATGACAGATTTTATTTGTGAGCTTGGAGAGCTTGTTGTATTCTGGATTCTGCAGCAATATGTCATCAGAAACAATATAACCAGCACAAGAAACGGGAAATTCCTAGTCGTTCTAATCGATTAATTATCCCAGAGTAGTGAAAACAAATCAGATGGGTACGCAGCAGGTGCTTTAAGATTGAAAGATTACATTGTGACAGCATGAAGGCTTTATTAATTTCAACATAAATTATGTATAGTAAATTTATTTTTTCTCGAAAAATGAATGGAGCTTTAAAGATTGTACCTCCTCCTCGAAACTCCTTCACCATATCGTCCAAATACCTGAAGCATTTTTCATCTTTAGTCTCTATAAGTGCAAATGCAGTGGAGGCTGGAGATGTTAAGAAGGACCCTAATGGTGTCTGCAACTTCAAAAGTTTTTCCCATTCCAATTCCAAATCTTGTAATCCTTCCAGACTATATGGTAGAGACGTAGACGTTGGTACATTGCGCAGAAGGTCCTTTGGAATCCTGTCCAATAGATGAATTATGTTATTATTTTTTTTTCTTGCATTTTTCTTAAAGATAGTTTCGTGTTTTCTTTAACAAAAGATTACAAACATTTCTTGAAGTAACTGACTACCATGGAGACATCCTCACTTGTAAAAAGTTATAGACATCTAGTTGTAGCTAAAAGCAAAATATGTAGTTTCCATTTTACCTCTCTTTTCTTATTTCTTCATTAATCTTTCTCCATATTTTTAATTAAGATGGAGCACTGTTTTAATTTAAAAGAATATCATCTTCAAATTTGTGGAATAGTCTTTTGGTCGGCTTTCATGTTCTTGAGGGCTTTTTATGCTTCTTGCTTACTCAGAAGATATCTTATCTCCGAGGTGANTTCCATGTATTTAGAAAAATAAAAAATTATATATGATAACGTTGTTAAATAATAAAACACAAAAATGAGGAAAATAAATAGTTTCAAAATTAACATAGTGATAACTTTGTAAAATAGAAATAAATATATGTTTTTTCTACTTTCAGCAGTTTATAAAAATGAGATGAGTGTCAGTGTATGTATATTCAGTCACTTGTTGTTGGGAACTTCTTAATTTGTTATTTTTCTAATCTGTCTATGGAGTGCTTGACTTTGACCTTACTTGTAAGTGTATAAAAATTTGCCTTTCGTATACGTTAATTTGATGAAGAAACTTTACCTTCTCAACTTCCTGTCTCTTGCTGCATAAATCTCCTTCATGACAGGAGCATCATAAGGAATGTTGTCAATGCCCAAGTTTTGGGCCTTTTGGAGAAGCGCCGGAACTACAACTTCAAATCCGCAGGGCATATGATCCTGATTTTCATCTTGAAGTTTATGTATGTTTTCCTTGATAAATGTCATTCCTAAAACAAAAACACGATGCTATGTCAAGTATATGTATTTCTTTGATCTCTTCCCTTTAATGTGGTTAGTACTTTTGTTGAAGAATTTGTCTCCGCCTTAATATTTTAAGCTTCGAGTTAAATTGTCACGTGACGCTTCATCATTAGAATGTTTTAAACACAGTTAGTTTTTTTCATCCAATAACATATTGCCAATACCCATTATGTCACTCTATTTGTCAACCACTCTCTAGCAAAGTTACATAACCCATTGTTTTAATATAGCATTGAATTAAGTAGATAGATTTGTCGGCACTCGTTTATGTATATTATGCACGTGTCAAGGTTTTTAATTAAAAATAATAATATTTTTCCCTTAATAAGAGACACTTTCAAACCTTTTTCACACTTGTCATGATGAACGTTCCATGTTCTTAGTGCAACTACACATGCTATAGTGTTGAGGAGACGATCATATGCTAAGAATACGAGCTTGTAACCCCATGAACCGTTGGGAGTTGATGATCAGGAATCCATCGAAGACTATGGGGAAGCTGGGGCATATCATCTCCATTAATTAAGAGCTGGAACAAGAGCAACCCAGGCTGTGTCATAGACTCATAGGGCGAGACATTTGTTCGACCATCTCCTATGGCATCCAACATTTCTCTAATATATTCAATTTGATCTTGTATCACATTTACCTTTACAAGAAACACATTAAATCATAAATGCATCCAAATGGTGGACCTTTTTCTTTTGGAAAAAAAAAAAACAATTAAAATTTAAAGCCACGATGAATGAAAACTAAAAGTTTTATGGATTAAATTGGTTTTCACATGATCAATGACGGGCTATTTTTGGTTGCTGAAATGGCAGTTATTGACAGCTTTTTCTTTTATTTATTTTTGATCGACCATGTTCCTGTAGCAGATATGAAGTTTTATATCATAACACCTTCGGGGCTTCCTCTTCCAAGTCTTCTTTCTCTTGTACTTGTGATGGATATATTTCTCTATCTACAAGCACGGGTGAGAATTTAGGTGACGTTTAGATAAAAAAAAATATTGGCTTCTCTTTCAAATAATTATTCATCTCAAAGTATATATACATACCTCGACTTGCAACATTGAGCAAGTGTTTACCATGGATATTATGATTCAAGTTAAGTACTTGTATATCATTAGTCCCAAATGTTAAATGCCGTACATCATATATTCAATTGAATTAGTTAAAGCGTTAAATATATGTTTGAGATCGAAATAACGAAAAAATAATAGAAATTTTATAAGCTTCCAGTTTCACAAAAATAATGACAAGATCGATTTTGTAGAGCTACAAATATATATCAATGGAACGATTGTACACTAACTACACAATCCAATAAATCAAAGATTCATCATATGACTCTGGAAAACCAATCGTTTATGCGCAAAAGCTACATCAACAATGACTGATCCTTGTTGAAGAAAGGAGTATTAGAAATGAGAATCAAAATCTAAACAACCATTTTTTCTCGAATGAAAAGAATAAGAATAATGGATAGAAAGTTTTACTAGTGACATGTTGCAGCAACGGAGCTTTTTGTATTGGGGCAACAACCTTTTACGAGGAACAAGCGAAGAATAGGCAAGTTTGGGACTAAGAAGAGCCAGCATTTTGTATAATGTTTTGTGTCCGAAGAAGGAAAGATAAGAACCAGGGTTCAGAATTTCCCTTATATATAATGCACGAGATGACTTTGGATTATTTTATTTGACTGTGTTATAGCTGGTTGATTTGTTTCGTTGAATGTATTGCGGAGGCAAAAAACAATTCTTAGAATACGTCTATTAAACTATGCAAATTTAATGCACTAAATTATTAGGAGTAGAAGAGCAGCCATCGAAAAGTGAAGTCGGGGCAGAATAGTGATTATTCTGCACGTTGGCTTGAGTAGGTAATTAACAGGGAAGAAACAAGAGAAAACGCCAAGAAATAAGAGAAATCTAATCATTCAATAATCCGAAAATAACCCACAAGCCGGATTAAATAGCTAGAAAAAATAGTAATTATTGAAATTTTACCAAAAATAGCAAAATCTCAATATTCATACCAAAAGGAGATACGAAATAAAAGAAATAATATCCCGAAAATTTGGCTCAAATCGGGTTCGTAATTTATTCTAAAAAGGCAATCGAAATATTACCAAAAAGGAAAAAAATAAATAAAATAGTGAATTCGGAAGGGAAAACGGTGGATTTTGCCCTCGAAATCGATGTACACCACGTAAAGCTCGGTGACTACGGCGTGTGCGCCGAAAAGAGCTTTCCAAATTGAGGTCATGAGCCCGATTTTGATAATCGTAGCCAAAGTTATCATCAAAATACTAAAACGTGTTCAAAAATGGCCCCAATTAGGAAATGTCATCGATTACTTGCCAATCTTACACTGATCTGCTAACTCATGGTACTTCAAAACCATCAACGAGCTATCGGACAAACTACTTAAAGCGGTTTGAAATTTTTCCAACCCAAATCGAACCACTTCAATTTCTAAACTAAACTAAACCAAACAACATTTTTCGGTTTAGTTTGATCTAAAAACATGGTTTAACAAACAAAAAAATAATATATATTAAATAAGTTAAATTATAAATATTAGTCTACAAATTCACATAAAAATATAAATATTAGTATCATTTCTAATCATCAATGCAATAACATGATAGAAAAAATTTAGTTCTAACCTCTTAATCAATACTAATCGACGCAAAGAATCAAATCACATGCCACATGGGATGCCTAGTAGCCCAAAAGGGTTTCTATTAACTTTAATTATAATGCTGCAGCTTTATTTCAAGTTCGTACAATTATTTTTAGCCCTTGTTTAGTATTCATTATTTTCAAAATACATGTCTCTCTTTTATTTTCAATCACAAATTCTTCAATAAAATAATATTATACATGAGAGGTGTGTTGATTAAATTTAAATAAATAAAAGTATTTCTTTCTAACCATTTAAATTTATAGATAATGTGGTTCAATTATCCTAAATAATAATATGAAAATTCAAACAGTCCATGAAAAAAAAAAGTGACCAAATGCCCACCTTGCATTAGACTGTGTTTTAAAGAAAATAAAAATAAATAAAACACGTCTTACTCGAACAATTTCTTGAATGGTGCAAATATAAGTCAAGGCAAACATTTAAGTTATTCATGAAGTACTATTTCAAAGTGGAAAATTAAAATAATCTTCCCATGGATATTCAATACAATTAGCTAATAGTCAATGATCTTGTCGAAAGATTGGTTCAGTAAGAATTAGTCTTGATTTTACTAAGGTTTTAAATTACTGGGTTACGGCTTCAAATTCTTGAGAGGAGAACATATTATATTTAGTTTAATATTGTTTGTAGATGACATTTGCATATTATTATCTATTGACTTCAAATACCGTTTTAGTCGATATTAGTAAATTAAATTAAGTCATGTGAAATGCGGGAATACATTTTTAAAGAACATCTCCTTTTAAATAGTCGTATTGTTATTCAATGAGAAAGTTCATTCTATTTGCAGATAAATGTCATCCACAAAATAAAAATAAAACCATAACTGCATTGGATTCCTACTCTTTTCATATAAATGTTGTCGGCTGAATGAAAATGGATCATAATTGAATAAGATTTCTGCTATAGAAAAGATATTCAATATTAGTAAAGTATCCTACTATTTTCATATAAATGTCGTCCAGTGAATAAAAATGAATTGAATAAGATTCATGCCATATAAAATATATTCAATAAAAATGGATTGAATAAAGCTTTAATTTTAGAGGGTGTTTAGTTATCTATTCAAACAGGAAGATGGATTGTCCAATCTGGAAATTATAATTATGTTCACTATCTTGTTTTAGTTTTTGGTGATCGTCAGTTCAATGACAACATAAATAGCTGCATGACAAGTCTTGCATTGTTTATTTTCGTGTGTACAATTTCATGTTAAATGAACAATGCTTGTTATTTTGGAAAATATCACATACTTATGCTTATGTTGAATAGGCAAGTTAAAAGGCTCACATGGGCGACCCTACTATTGCTTAAACAAAAGTTTTGAGTCACGAGAATTCATAATAATAATATGAGAATCCAAACAGTTCATGAGTTTTAAAAAAATATTTTTTTCGAACAAGAGATAGAGAGAGAGAACTAATTTTTGTCTTATAATGAGTTTTTGTAATTGGTCATTGATTTCAATACAGTATTTATCCATCCCAATAAAGTAAACTCCCGTAACTGACATAATAATGTCAAAGGAGAGAGAGAGAGAGAGAGAGAGAGAGAGAGAGCCAATTTTTACTTTTTTGTGATCGTCAGTTCAATGACAACAGAAACAGCTGCATGACAAGTCTTGCATTGTTTATTTTCGTGTGTACAGTTTCCTAATATATGAACAATGCTTGTTATGTTGGAAAATATCACATACATATTGTTGAATTGACAAGTTAAAAGGCTCACATGGACAACCATTCTATTGTTTAAGCAAAAGTTTTGAGTCACGAGAATTCATTTTTGAATGGATTCTTACTATTTTCATATCAATGTCATTCTACTATTTTTATAATGCATTGGATTCCTACTATTTTCGTATAATTCATTCTTACAACAAATTTATTAGAAGAAAGGTATTGTCTTGAATTTGATACATAATGTACCATATCATATATGACATAACACTATTTTCATACATAGATTTGGCACAACATATTTTTCATACATATGATGTACCACATCATATATGACAGAACACATTTTCCAACTATTTTCATACATAGATTTGCACATAATTATGTCACACGCTTTTCAAAAATTACTTTTCTAATGTTGACATCAATGGTTTCTGGATCAAAACATCTAAAATAATAATATGAGAATCCAAACAGTTCATGAGTTTTAAAAAAAATGTCTTTTTCGAACAAGAGAAAGAGAAGGAGAGAGAGAGAGAGAGAGAGAGAGAGAGAGAGAGAACCAATTTTTGTCTTATAATGAGTTTTTTTAATTGGTCATTGGTCTCAATACAGTGTTTATCCCTCCTAATAAAGTAAACTCACGTAACTGACATAGTAATGCCAAATGTGAGAGAGAGAGAGAGAGAGAGAGAGAGAGAGAGAGCCAATTTTTAGTTTTTTGTGATCGTTAGTTCAATGACAATAGAAACAACTGCATGACGAGTCTTGCATTGTTTATTTTCGTGTGTACAGTTTCCTAATATATGAACAATGCTTGTTATGTTGGAAAATATCACATACACATGCTTCTGTTGAATTGACAAGTTAAAAGGCTCACATGGACGACCCTTCTATTGTTTAAGCAAAAGTTTTCAATCACGAGAATTCATTTTTAAATGAATTCCAGCTATTTTCATATAAATTTTCATAATCCATTGGATTCATTCTTACAGCAAATTTATCAGAAGAAAGACATTGTTTTGAATTTATTACATAATGTACCACATCATATATGACATAACACTATTTTCATACGTAGATTTGACACGACATATTTTTCACACACATGATGTACCACATCATATATGATAGAACACATTTTTCTAACTAGTTTCATACATAGATTTCCACATATTTATGTCACACGCTTTTCGGAATTACCTTTGTAATGTTGACATCAATGATTTCTTGATCAAAATATCTAAAATAATAATATGAGAATCCAAACAGTACATGAGTTTTAAAAAAATATTTTTTTCGAACAAGAGAGAGAGAGAGAGAACTAATTTTTGTCTTATAATGAGTTTTTGTAATTGGTCATTGATTTCAATACAGTATTTATCCATCCCAATAAAGTAAACTCCCATAACTGACATAATAATGTCAAAGGGGAGAGAGAGAGAGAGAGAGAGAGAGAGAGAGAGAGAGAGAGCCAATTTTTAGTTTTTTGTGATCGTCAGTTCAATGACAACAGAAACAGCTGCATGACAAGTCTTGCATTGTTTATTTTCGTGTGTACAGTTTCCTAATATATGAACAATGCTTGTTATGTTGGAAAATATCACATACATATTGTTGAATTGACAAGTTAAAAGGCTCNACAACTGCATGACAAGTCTTGCGTTGTTTATTTTCGTGTGTACAATTACCTGTTAAATGAACAATGCTTGTTATATTGGAAAATATCACATACATATGCTTCTGTTGAATTGACAAGTTAAATGGCTCACATGGACGACCCTTCTATTGTTTAAGCAAATGTTTTGAGTCACGAGAATTCAGTTTTGCATGGATTCCTACTATTTTCATATAAATGTTATCCTACTATTTTCATAATGCATTGGATTTCTACTATTTTCATATAATTCATTCTTAAATCAAATTTATCAGAAGAAAGACATTGTCTTGAATTTATTACATAATCTACTACATGACATAACACTATTTTCATACATAGATTTGACATGACATATTTTTCATACACATGATGTGCCACATCATATACGACAGACCATATTTTTCACACTATTTTCTTACATAGATTTCTCTATAATTATGTCACACGCTTTTCAAAAATTACCTTTGTAATGTTGACATCCATGGTTTCTGGATCAAAATATCTAAAATAATAATATAAGAATTCAAACAGTCCATGACTTTTCAAAAAAAAA